ACGGAAAAGTCTGTCCTTTGCATTTTAAAAAACTTCTGCATGGGGCGTCGGTGGCTTAGTGGTAGAGCAGGCGCCCCATGTACAAGGCTGTTGCCACAGTGGCCCGGGTTCGACTCCAGCCTGTGGCCCTTTGCTGCATGTCACTCCATCTCTCTCTCCCCCTTTCACACATGTCTGTCCTGTCCATTAAAGCCTGAAAATGCCCAAAAAATATCTAAAAAAAAAAAAAAAAAAAAAAACTTCTGCGCAAAATCTACTGGAACCGCTGTAGTATGCACGCCAGGCCAATGGGTGGCAGTGTAAATTTGCAAAGCAACACCACGGCATGACGCCATGCACTTGCGCTGAAGCGCCTTCCTCTACAACGCGGTGATTACAAACCAAAACAAAGAAGACACAATGGTGAAAGCATGCACAGATAACTTTGTCTGGATGGACGACGAGGAGAGTTGCTACGGTAACAGATCTACACTTCACTTCAAATGAATAGGGTGAGCAGCGCAAACAGAGCTCGGCATTGTTGTGACGGTTGACTTTCTCCCTCATGCCTAGTGACTGGAACCGTAATGCGCATGTGCGAAAAGTCTCCGTTTTCAGAGGAACTGCATATTGCAAGTTTACATGACAACGGAGACACTGCTGTTTCCAAAAAAAGGCACTCTGGAACCCGCAAAACGTTGCGTTTTCAGGCACCCAAAACGCAGCTGTCGTGTATACGATCGGCCAAAACGCAACTAAAGTTTACCGTTTTCAGTTGAAATCGTTGTCGTATAAATGGGACCTTAGGCAGGGAGAGCAAACCACCCTGCCTTTCCATGCGCCTTCCATGAGAGCAGCAGCAAAGACCCCCCGGGAACAGAACAGAGCAGCATCAACGACAAACAGAAATGACATTGATAAGTCAGACACTGCATGAAAAGGAGGAGCTGGGGTGGAGGCGGGTTGCAAAAGAAGCAACAACAGTAGCCGGCTAAAGCAGTTTAAATAGGGCGCCCTGAATGAGATTCACCAATTGGTTGCGTAGAAAGGAATCATGTGATCTATCAGCTGACTCCCTTCCAACAATCAGCTGCTCCATCAGTTGTTAGGCTGTTTGAGATCAGCTGATGTAGCTTGGTGTTGATTTGGTGATTATATGCACAAAATACAGCGCAATGTGTTGTTATCAAATGATATTGCTAACAATGGCTAACCAGGCTAGAACTTGTATGCCAACATCTTGGTTTTCCGACTTGTACCGTAACGCAGCCAACTCGGTCATGATATCATTCCCAGCCCTGACCTTCAACTTCCAAGGTAAATGAAACACAGCATTATACCACCTAATAGGGGTGTTCTCAAAAACTGTATTGATTTGTATTTGTTTTTCTACAAGCTCTTTTTTCACCAATAAGGGCAAGTGTTAATTACTTTGATTATATTGCAAAAAACGTAGTGCTATGATGCTCGACGTTACAGGGATTGTGATACATATAAATACAGATACCACTTTCCTGATTGCATAGAATAGTATCTTTTTAATTCGTATGGTGGTGTGTTTTTATTCTATCACATCCCCCTAAAATTAGAGCAATATATCACCTTGCTTACAGTGTCACAATAAAATCAATATTGAATCGTAACCCCTGTATTGTGATACGTGTCAGATTATTGCCAATTCAAAGCCTTTCAATGTGATAAGTGCCTTTGAATCTGACTCATGGCTTACAGCTATGTCACCACTCCTCTTTCTAACTTCCTGCGTGTCACCCTAACACTATAATCCGTCAACAGCTCTGACAGGGTTTACTGGCCCCTTAACTAAGTGCCATGAAATAATAAGATAACATTTCATCACATGCAGTAATTTATTTTGAAGGATGAGTCTAAGACAAATCCCATAGTTGCGAACTCTGAAACATATGGCACCCTCATGATTCACATAGATCCAGAGTTTACCATTTGGGAGAGGGTTAGGAGGGTGTCTGCGCTCCACCTTGTCAGACAGATTGCACCACCTAAGGCAGGACACTGCTTGACCTAATGCTTGTAATTAAACTGTTTCCAGGCTGTAACATAGAATCTGTTGAAGAGGGTGAGAGAAAAAAGGACACTGAGTTTCAGGGAATGAAGCACAACTACACACATTCTCTAATGGGTCATTTTATAAAGCAATTCTAGTTAAACTGACTAAATTTTTTATCAGGCCTTGCTGCATCTATCACATGTTGGGAGAAATGACAACAGGTCTACCTGCTCTGGTCATAGGCTGCCCCCCTGTGGTCAGATGGTGCAGTGCTGTTAACCACAGAACTAAAAACAATAAAGTCAATACAATTAAACACTAGTTGTTATTAGCACGAATAAATATAAAACCTAAAAATAGAGACAAAGTAATGAGGCTGTACAATAGCATAAATAATTACCTGTGAGACTCTGAAAAGACAAATAGCAGAGAGGAGATAAAGACAAGCTGGTAAAGAAAGCACTGAATGATTTCCTTAGGATTTGTAGGTCACATAAAATAGTGTGTTTGACTCCAACAATGTTTGAAAAGACAGTGAAGCATGTCTACAAAGACCCTTACCAGCTACCAGCTCAGTAGTGTGTATATTCCTCTCTGCCACGGCTGTCTTATCTTGTCTTATCTTTGATAACGTGTCTGGTCAAAAAAGGCAACTCTACATACAGATCTATGTTTGCTGACCTGCTCTTCCTACAAGAATGCATTGCACTCAGACTGTCAGACTGACAACAACAACAACAGTTTAATCAGCATTTTCATCACGCACATTCTGTCACAACCTACATTACCCACAAGGCAACTTGGCCACCTACAATCCGTTGGAAGGTTCAGGTGTGTGAAGGTATGTGTCCACAGGATCCATCAATTCCACACTTTTCATTCACTGTCTGTGTAAGCAGCAAAGCATTCTGGTGGCATAGTGTTGCATCCCAAGAGACATTTAATCTAAACTGCTTTATGCAAATCAGGGGCATCAAGTTTGACTCGTTACCTCTGGAAACTCACAAAAAGCTTTTAAACTAAACGTTGTCAATCTAAGGTCAAGACAGATTCAACAACGGGCTTATTTCTCACCTCCATTTGATGAACTGTATTCATAATGTAAGAGAATGTTCCCAGACAAACAACCAAGTTGGTATGAGTTGAAATCTGGGAATAGACAGCCCATAGACGGTATAAAGTAATGGATTTAGATACCGTTACAAGAGGGGTGGATCTGAATCATAGACTGTAGCGACACCTCACAGACTGCCAGTCACTTCAAGTAGCCACGCCCTTAAATATGCACAACTTTAAGTCTTAATAAGACGTAAATTGAGTTTTATAAAAATGTATCCCTTGTACAGTTGTCATGAATATTGAAATTAGCTATCAAGAACAAAAATTGTAGTTTTTTTTTTAGTTTTGGGGTGGGGTGGGGGGGGGGGTTTCTTTCTTTTTCTTTTGTACCAGGCTGTTATCATGTTTATTTCTGCTGTTAAGTTCTGCATTGTAACATGGGGTGTCTAGGGTGATAGACTCATTTTTGGAGCCAGCCTCAAGTGGCCATTTGAAGAACTGCAGTTTTTTGGACTTGTGCGTTGGCTTCATTTTTCAGCCCTGGAGGCTGCCACTTGGAAGCCGCACAACCCCCCATATATAAATTAAAAAAAACTTTAGAACCATATCATAAAGCTTTGTTTATACTCATGTGAGACACTGTGGTGCGGCACTGGTCTTTGTGGATGGCATGCAGGCTACAGGCATGTACAGAGGCATTTATGGTCAGCATGTTGTTTGTTGCAATAAATAACAGAATGCCAGGATGCATGGAAACTAAATATTCTTTGGACAAGCAAGAAGTAAACTACTGGGAGAACATTACTAAAAAAAAATGTCATTATCCAACATGGCTACAAATGCTTCCCTGGAATCCATCGTTGCTGAGGACGGATGTATCTGCTTATGACCAGTATGTAAAATTAGCTTCAAAGCCTGCCACTGTTCCTGGGGGTTTGGCTAGAATAAATCCATTGTCTTCCTTTATCTGAGGTTTAACTGGTACTCTTTTAACTATGTCATCTCATTGTGTCGTCTTTGGGTTTGGGTAAGGGGTTGCCTGGTGGCTTTGTAGGAGAGCAGATATCCCATATAGGAAGGCAGTGTCCTTGTTGCAGTGATCACAGGCTCAGTTCTGGCCTGTGGCCCCCTGCTGCATGCTATGCATGAATAGAACGAACTACTGCCTTTCTTGATCAACAAATCGTTGATAGACAATAGTTGCATAACAGCAGTGAATGGGACAGCACATAAAGATGCGCTTTCATTTGCCAATTTTCCAAAAATTCTTGTGAAAATTTGCATTACATTTGGACGGAAACCCAGCTTGTGATACACACATACAGAGGTTTCCTTTTCTGGCTCTGGATAGCACAATGTAGTCCTTCACAAAGCTTCATTTTTTATTTTTATTTTTTATCGATAAAAAAAGAATTTACCCATAAGGACTATTACTTGGTCTTTAATTTCTGGGTATTTAATATGTCTGTTAAATAACCAATAGAGGGCAGCAGAGTGTAAGTTAATTTTGTCTTGATCTGACATTCATGAGGTCACAGACATGACTTTCTGATGCTTATTTCTATCAAAAAAGAATCATTCTGAACACTGAAACATTCATTTATTATTTTTTTATTGGCTTTGAGTTTATTTAAACAAAAAATAAATCACTACAAAAGAAAATCAGCAGTTACAAAAGACACACTTGTCCAAAAGGTAAACTAATAGCTTTCACAGTCTCTTGAATTTCTTCCCTTTCTTTCACCATCCACCCTTTATTGTTCCACTCTGATGCCACAGTTAATGTGTGAGTTGGAGGGAATCAGGACTTGGTCTTTGGTATGCAGCAGGGATCAGAGTAAAATGAGCAAGTTTCATTGTCTCAGGTGAAGCTTTGTGACGACGCAGACATTACAGTGGGGGGGGGGGGGGGGGGGGGGGGGGGGGGGGGGGGGGGGGGGGGGGGGGGGGGGGGGGGGGGGGGGGGGGGGGGCGTAAGACTCTTCTGAGATGAAAGCCTGGGACTTCAGAGCGCGAGAGATGAAGGATGGAAGATAGCAGTTGACACTTCAGGCTTCAGGACATTCAGCTGTAACAACACACATGACGATGGTAGTGAGCAAAGGTCTCAAGCACTTACAGAAACAGTTCAAATGCATTTATATCTGAGAGTTTGTGCAGTTTGTTTGTTAATGACATACCATTCTCTGGCAAGATGACAATGTTATCAGCGAGGATGCCAGACTGCAGGGAGAACTGGGTGAACTTCTGCTGCAGGGCGGCCCTGGCAGTGGTGGTGCGGCCTGCAAACACAGAAGTGAGTTGAATGAACCCTCCCCAAATCCTGAATCCACCAATTTAGCACACAATGCCTTCCTTTAGGGATACAACACAAGCTGCTGTCTTGTGAATGTGGCAGACTTACTGTAAAGCTTGTTGAGGACCTCAGACACTCCGTCCTTTGTCTTGACAGTGTGGACCAGAGCGTAGTCATCATACACAACTTCAGCAATGCGCATGTCATTGTCATTGTTCCACACTGATGAAAGAAGAAACAGAAAGGTCAGGGTGTTGAACCTTTGTGTTTGTGTCTCTCTCATGTATTTGTGCGCACTCTACTCACCCTGGCTGCGGAAGGTGAAGCGTCCAGGAGTCTCGGTTTTCTTGGCAAGGTGAGTCATTCTCCAGCAGGTACCATCAGCACTAAAAGGGAGGAAGAGGTCAGGAATTAAGCTTTTTTTTTCCCACAGGAGAATCATTACAGTGTTTTGCTTAGAAGCTATAATTTAATATTAAGCACATACTTCAGGTTGGCATAAGAGAGGTCCAGGTCTCCTCCATCAGTCGGTTTCAACACAGCAGTGCCCATCTTCATGCCTGCCTTGTGGTTCACAAACCACTGGGCATTTGTGGCAAAGCCAACCATGTACCACTTGCCTGCCATCTAGAAGAAAGACAGAAGGGGGGAGTAAAGGGTGACGAGTGTTTTAATCTCACAGAATAAGTCAAACATAAAGCTCAAGGGGTTATCTTAACTGCAGCACATGTGTTACACAACCCATTTCCCATAAACTATTGAACAAGTCACCCTTCTTCTGCATCTCTCTTACCTTCTGCAGGTCGAAGTCTGCCACAGGCGTGACCTCAGTGCATGCAGCCAGCGCACACATCAGGGCGACCAGCATCCTAAGCAGTGTGTTCCTCATGGCTTCTCCTTCGTGTTCTGGGCTTCTCCAGCAGTGAGTGAAGTATCAGTCAAAGGTGAGGAGGAAAAAGCCAAGTGGAGGCTCCTTATATCCTGCAGAGCCCTGCTCCCTATCCCCTCCTCATCCCTCTGTCTCCTCCCCTCTCCTGCTGCTAGTTTTTTCATTACAAAACCTCTTTGGCCCTCACTCACTCACTGCCATGCAAATCACTGCCGTTACACAACTGGCACGTGTGGATGGGAGAGGGGGAGGCGGGGAAGGAAGAATGGGGGAAGGAGGAGGAGAAAAAAAAGGGAGAGTGGGTGCATAATAGGGTTCTTTTAACACCCCTCCCCTTCTCACTCCTCCTTCACAAATGCTCAGGCATGCCTGGACTATCAAAACAGCTGTTTGGTAAGAGTGCAAATTTCTTCACCATATGGCACATGAAAGGTCCAAAAACACCACATGCACAATGAGAAATAACAGATCAGAAGCACTTTTGCTGAACTTCCTCAAGACAGGGCTCAAATCTACTTTATAAGCCAATAAACTCCACATGAAATAAGATTTCAAATGTACTAGAAATGCATTCTCTTGCAGCAAAGTGCCAGATGCAGTGAGGCCATGATGTTAAAGATTTTCACAGTGTAATCATGTTCACTATTTCACATAAAAAGCTGTCACTGTTGCCTGTAACTACTTGCTTGTTCTTTGCAGTTCATTTTGAGTGTTAACTGTTTCATAAAACCTTTGAAATATGAGTCATTTAAAGGGCAACTCTGTCTAATTTTTGAATTTCAGTATGTTATTTCCATGGCCCTCAGAAGTTTAATCCATATTTGAGCTGCTGTTTCTCAAAGCCAGAAACCAGGAAAGTAAGTCTTGAAATTGAAGTCTGGAGCTGCTCCATAGGCAATGAATATGAGCCTGATTTTGTGGACCCAAAGAATGTTTGTTCCTTTTTTTATACCCAAATGAGCTTTACTCTATTGTAGTGTTCTCAGCTGTGAAATGCAAAATGTACCCGTGTACCCAGAACATTGCCCTGAGTGCTCTCAAGCCCCTTTCTACTAAGCAGCCTGGGTCAGTTCAGTTCAGTTCAGTACATATATTTCATGTCTCCACTGAGAAAAGTTGTGCATGGCACTAACAGAACCCTTCCTAACGTTCCCTGTTTTTCATTACCCCTCTGTTGGGGTACCTAGCACACAGATCTGGTACTAAAAGGTGGAGCTGTGAACACTGCAGTTTGTTGATTGGTCAATAGAGGACGGTCACTCTGCTCAGGACTGAGCTGTGGCTGGTTTCAAATGTATGTAACCACTCTTTATACCGTGGCAAGTTTTACATACATTAGTAATCTATAACTATAAAATAAAAGGATGCTTTGCCGCCTCTCGCAGCAGCTATAGACTGAGAAAAAATACTTTAATTCACTGAGCTGACTTATGGCAGAACTTTTACTTATAATGTTACTCAATGCATAAGCTGACAATGTGAATCCAACACACCTTTAACCATTACTTTAGTTTTTATTGTCTCTCTTGGATGACATACACCTTTACTGATGGGTGGATGATTGAGCATTTAAATACATATATAGGCTATATATATATGCATTTCAAACAGATTTTGGGAACTGCATATTCTAATCCTCATTTGGAGAAAATAAAAACGTGTTGGAGCATCATTCTGGTGCACTCCAACAACACTACTTGTCTGAGAAGCACCCAGTGCACAAACCTACTATTTTTAAATAACCCATCAGGAGAGACTCTCACTCCAAATGTTGGCACGCAACCCTGTTCTGTGGACGGTAAACAAGGTGCAGACTGAGAAGGAAATACAGCAAAAGCTGGAGAGAACAGTGAATGACAGCAACCCTGCTCACATTTAGGAGTACTATCTGCGGCACTGACGCTAAGCCAATCCAGGGTCTAGGTACATGTGGGGTTATTTTTGGTTCTAAAGGTGCTTTACTGAAAGGTTTTGGCGGAAATGGGGCTTCAGTGTCACCTAGAACATCTTTCCTGATTCATTGTCTATGGAGCAGCTCCAGACTTTGTACCCTGTGACATGGCAAATTTGAGTTTTAGCACTATAGTGTTTTGGATTTGGGAGTGAGTTATTCGTGTTAACTAATATTTTTGGACTGTCTTGGACCATATGAAGAACAGTTTAGAAATGGCATAGTTCCCCCTTAAGTTGTGAAACAACTTAGTGAGAAGAAGAGTTCGGTGAAACATCTTGTTTGACATTAAATCTCTGCATTATGTGTTGAATAATACCCCCGAATCCAGCACTGCTCATAAGAACTGTATATAACATGTTGTGTAATGTGTAATGAGCTTATTGGCTGTGAATTCTTCATTGGCAAAAATGTATTGATGAAGTCAGCAGAGCTCTATTAGAGACAAGGCGGGCGCGGACTTGCAACCAGCATGTTATGTAACACACACACAGACGCAGAGGTGCTGGGAGGAGCTAGGGGCAGCATCAAGAAGCACTTTGGTAACCTAGTTTTGTAACCAAACTCTCACAACCCCTTTTGGGCTCCACATCTGGGCTCCATTAACTCCCACCCCAATCCCTGAATCCTCTATCCTCACACACACCCCCAGAAGCATTCACACTGACACTCACACTGAATGGTAAATCTCAGCAGGAAATGATGGGATGGAGTTAACATGATAATAAGCCATGCATGAGACTGACTTCTCACCACAGACTCAGCTGGTGGCAGATGAGACCCAGAGTGGATTTTCTAAAATGAAAACATCTGACACCAATGTGATTGTGCTCCATTTTATTTATTTGTATCTGGTAACATTTAAAGGTGACAGCTTTACAATTTCAAGACCTTTGTTCAGTCTTTCAACAACTTCAGTGATACAATAATTAGATATTTGCGTAAGAACTGCAGAACACTGCAAGGCTGGATCTGTCTGCTGCACGGCTCTGCCTCCTCAGCATGTGGGGACACAGTCTGAAAACAAAAGAGTGACAGGTTAAATTACAAAGACGCTGTGCTGCTGTTTTAATCAGGGAGTGGAGATTGGATAACATGTTGCTGACAAAGTTTAAATAACTGAAGCTGACACATGCACAGCCTGCAGGAGCAAACGTGAAAACTGTTTGGGAAGGTCACGGCGACAGGTCATTGGTTTCCTTAAAGCTGCTCTCGACCAATCTCTGTCTCTCTCTCTCTCTCTCATGATATAACAGCCTATTGAAATTATTTTGTAACCTTTAGAGCATCTAAGCATTTTTTTTAAGGTACTATGAAATTATAACGTGGCAGGAAAGGAAGAAATATCCACTGCTAAGTCCATGTTTGCTGTGCTTTTGCAAAAACGTCTCGGGATTTTCATTTTCATGTCTTCCCCCCAAATCACACTTCTTTAAAATGCTTATTTGAATCATCATCATGTTTAAATGTTAAAATTGTGAGACATTATCTCCCTCCAAAAATGTTTTACAACATCAATAATAAAGCAGTCAAATTTTACAACCCAGTAATTCCATTAACCTTCATAATCACTTAATTCAAGGACAGTTACTGTGCTGTAACCTCTCTCATTGGCATTGCTGCAGAAGTGTACATCTTAGACGCACAGTGCCACATAATAATAACAGAACATTATACAAGGAGGAACAAAGCAGGAGAATACATATGTCCTCATTAAGCACTGGTACACAGCAGCGCCTCAGCTGGGAAGGTGAAATGATGATGGACATGTAATGCACTGAGCCAGTGAAACACCAGTTACACTGACTAGGATGAAATGCTTGAAGTCATAGACGGGATTCCAATGTACTGCAGTGTGTAGTGACCTGTGAAAATACTCTATGTACAATATATTAAGCCTGTGAGCGACACTGACAGCTGAAGAACTGAAAAACATTTTAACTGTTTCCTAAAAACAAAAGTGGCAGCCATGGCAATTTAATAAAAAGTTGTATTTGCAAGATTTGTCAGCTGCTTCATTCAACTCTGTCACTTTTTTATGCTACGTAGAATTTATACTTGTCCGTCTGCTCTATGCAGGGCCTACACTGTGGCCTACGCATGTGGTTCATGCCATTGTGAGCATTTGTACTTGTGTGGTGGTGTGTCTGTGTCACTCTGCAGTTACATCTCCAAAACACTAGTTGTCAGTGGAGGTTTCTGTGAAGTGCTGTAAAGTTTAGATGATTGAAAACACCCAAAATACACACTAAACATAACCTAATAGAGACAATTTCAAACACGGGTACACAAATCAGCTTCACTATAATTCGCAGCATTCACAGACAAACACATGTCTTTATCTGGACACATTTTCCCCACAAATACAACATGCTAATGTTACTAGCACAAGCCTGTGGCATTTTACATTGTATAAATTAGCCTGGTGGCTAGTGGACTTTTCCTCTACTCATATGAACCCAGGGACAACAGCAACATTTAACAAAGGTAATGTTACAAAATTTGGCTCCATTACAACTCACAAGGTTCACCGACAAAACAACTGTCTTATACTAAACACGTTTCCCAAACAAATATAACATGCTAACGTTATTAGCACAAGCCTATGGCATTTTACATTGTATAAATTAGCCTAGCAATGAGCAGAGATTTCTTCTGCTCATATGAAGCCAGGATAAATCACACACAAGACTTAAAATGCTATTTTGTGGAGGTTTTATTGTCTTCACAATTTATTGTTTCTTATCTGTGAAATTAAGGTAAATAAACACTTAATTTCCACTGAGGGAAATGGTTTCATCTTACAAAAACAGACAGGAGGTCTGCGTCACAGTAACATGGAGTTACATTTCTGGGGAGGTGCACGTCAGACTACAGCGTAGGCTCTATGGTGTTGATTCGATGCAAAAGTATAAATCCCACTTTAGTCTTTTAATTATCACACATTTTGTTCCATCATAGAATTATAGTTGTTATATCTGTTTTTTTGTTGTTGTTGTTTTTTTACACATTTAACTTACTGATTACATGATCCTGGTCCACGTCACCACAGTGACCTAGAAAAGAAAAAAGAGTTCACAGTTATTTACATGCAGCCGATGAAGCAGGTGTACGACTACATCGTCATCCTTTACATCGGTAATTAATGCAATATGTTTTTTATTTTTTTAAACCACACAACTATTTGCTCTGTAAAGATAAAGTGGAGTAATATCGCCTTGGGCAGAGAATGAAATCACATTCCCTCTGAGTGTGTTGCATTTTGAGCTTCTCTGTTTTTCGCTGTTACAGATGGTTCGGCTATACTGTTAGCACCATTAGCTGCTAGCCGCTGGCTCAGTATCATCCATGTTGAGAGCTGTGTGCAGACAACCTCTGAATCATTGATATGCTCTGAATATCAAATAGAGCTCCTTACAACTTTATTTTGAAAAGTAGCACAATATTCCAAACTACTTTTATGAATATGCCGAGTACTGGAGATCCTTTCAAGCTAGATTTCGGAGCTGCTGAGGCCTGTTATGCCACCCTACATTCAATATTACAGTTGCTAACATAGTTTATTTTGTTTTATTTTTCAGGTGAATGTGGACTTACTGTATGTGGGGAAGGGGAAGAGGTATGCCAGCCCCAAACCCTGTTTTTCAGCAAGCTGCTCAAACTTGGTTAGCATCGGCTCCGACAGATTGTCTGTAGACCTGCCTGCATACAGAGCACAGAAACAAACACCAGGACATTTAAAACACGAAATTATCAGGACTACCATCTGGCTTTTAGATCTGAAATACCAAACAAAGGCCACGTGGCTCAGGAACCAACCATAGAGTTTCATCGTGATCTTGCCCCGTTTCTGGTAGTACATGATCGCATATGAAGTGTAGTCCGTCTCCCCGATCACTATCTCAGTGTTCAACTCAGGACGAGTTCCTGGTGGAAACGACAGAGAGCATGGTGGAACAAAGAAATGCTGCATTGCACTATTGTTTATCAATCATGCTTAATGAGGGAGGCACTGACCTTTAAGTGTTAGCTTTCCTGGGGTTGGTGTTAGATCGTAGACCTGTAAGATCTCCCAACACTGGTGATTACTGAGGAGAGGAGACGAGACGAGACGAGACGAGACGAGACGAGAAGAAACAAGAAGAGTAGAGTTGAGATGAGATGAGATGAGATGAGATAAGACCAGACCAGACCAGACGTGATGAGACGAGACGAAAAGAGAAGACAAAAGTGTTTCAGGTGAGACATTTGATGACCCAGTAGAAACAGACATTAGACATACATATACACTGTTTTGTAATCTAACCCCTTTTTAGCATTTTAATTTTAACATGATGAGATTTATGATCAACAATCATCCATTTATATATATATATATATACATATATATATATATATATATATGGATGTAAGGACTAAGTAGGTTAAGGCAAGCCTTTAAACAAAAAGTCTGGTAAGTTGATAAATTTGTATCACTCATGATACAACGATATCCAGAATCTTAGACGATATATAGTCTCATATCTCAGTAATGATATAACATTTTCATATTGCCCAGCCCTCATACAAAACTGACAGTTTTTTCACCGTCTATTTGTAGATGTTGATCGAATGTTCACATTTCAACCATATTTCACCAGGATTTGCTTTAGTGAGATTTTTAATCCTCTGCAGTGTGCAAATAATATCCTATCCCGGTTGGTGTTCTCTCAACACATTCTCACTCCGACCTCGTCACATATTGACCTTTGGTCATGGACTTTCAACATTCACATACGACGTGCAAGGTACCCTGGGTGCATTGGTTGTTGACTTCCTGAGACACCGTGTCAAGTTCTGCCTGTTACATCTTCTTTCAAAATACACTTCGTTTTAACTGGAAATTTGCCATTTACATACAGTCTCTTTCAAAATAAATGCACTTTGTTTTTTTTCCTTCAACAACAAACACACGGTTGGGTTTGGGAAAAAAAGAACACGGTTTGACTTTAGACTCTTATGGTACCGAAAGTAGGTGTTTGTTGGACCCATCCACCACCCCTCCCACCCGTCTCATTCAAACTTTTGGCGCCTTAACTTTTGTCCTTGTCCCACCACGCTTCCCCCTGATGCTGCCAGTTGCCCTTTAATTATAACTGAAAACAAGTTCCGTGTCATGCCGACGTCAAAGGATGCCTTTTTTCATGGTTTCTGACACGGCAAGTCACTGGCCAAGCGCCAGATTTCGATGACTTCTGAGTGAGATCGGGCTTGTTCACTGGGTAGGGTGTGGATAGGTTTGTTTGCGTTTAACGCCAGCGCTGCAGAGTTAAGTTAGCAAATAATCATAAAGAGCCCACTGCAGAGTCGCCACCTTGTGGTAAGACATATTAATGAACGCTCATTTAGACCTATTAATAATGTTAATTGGCTAATTTAGACTCAATAGGCTGTGTTACCTTCATATGAAGCTCAGTTATGTTTTGCACCTCCAGACAGATGTTTTACAATTATTTTGGTTTAAAAAAATGTCTCTTTTGAAAGTAAAGGCTGCCAACCCGTGATCTAACCACACAGCTCAGCCTCAGGCCAGACTGACCTGGCTTTCTAATGCCACATGAGAAAAACACCCAAAAAATGATTTTCCTCTGTTTGTGCCAAAAAGGATTCAAAGAGTTGAAATCACAGCAAAGATGTCACAGAATGTCCCACAAAAACAACACACACACTTTTTCCATTTCAGTGTTGCATTGTACTTTCTGTCATTCTGCGTCCGCCAGGTCACGATGACCTGACAGTTTTTCAAAACATGAGGGAAAGCTGATGAATTTAACTGTTCGGCCTCTTTCCTGTTTTCGAGGATACACACAAATAAAATCAAACACATGTGGCTGAGGCATGAAGTCAGAGCAGAATGAGGACAGTAGAGAGATTTGTGGCACATTTGCCCCCTCTGTCGGTCAATAAAGGTACTGAAGGGTCACAGTGAGCTACACTACATGCACAGTGAGTGCTTAATGATGTAGATGGTGTTACTTACTGTCTTGTTTTTGTGCTAACAGACAGCGTCTCATCCGTGGGAGAGGAACGTGTGAGGGTCATGACTGTGGGCTCCACCTTGGTTCCATGATTTATCAGGTAAGAGCATTTGGAGGCGGTGTTTAGCAAGTACCAAGTTCCTGTCATCTGCGACAGAGACATGGAAAATAAGCAAGATTTTCACATATCTCCTAAGGCTCTGACGTAATATTTGTAATATTTTCTTTACATTCATTCTTATCAAGCGATCCTACTCATGCAAACCATTTCTACCTAGGACTTCTCCTATTTTACCAGGGTCAGATGAGCTCATATTTAATTTTTAAGCTTTTTCTGTTCTCCCAGTGAAAAGGACACATCTGCTTTGAATGTCCTGGTTTATTATCTTTTGTTATGCTCAAATTCTGTTTCACTGAAATTCCCCTTATTACCTAAAACACCCATATTGACACAGTTACACAAGCATGTTCACTTTGCCAGCCCCCTCACTAATCCATGACCAAACAGACTAACATGTTTGGATGTTTGAGTCTCTGGAAAACACATTTCTCTCTTCAGCATGGGTACTTGGATAGAAGTTTGCAACTGGTCAACCTCCTAAAGTTGCATTTAAATGTCATCTGTTTTAGTATCCTTAATTGCATTTATCAATATAAAAGAAAAGGGTAAACATGTGCTGCATTAATTGAGAGATGGCAATGTACAAAATGGTCCTTGTGTCAAAACCTTCACTTCCCCTATGTTCTCCTCAAAGCAATAATTAATTTTTTCGGCTATTCTGTTGAGGTGATTCGTCATGGCTTCCACTGATTACTTCACAATCCTATTTGTTTGTGTTATTGATGTATTCTGGTACAAACCAGTGAGAAACACAATCACAAGGTCAGTGTGCAAAGGTCAGGTAACGGCACAGTTAACACAGCTGCAATCCTCTACCTGGATACAGCACTGATTTCTCTACCTATCTAGCTATGAAGCTTGATCTAAAGGCGCCGATCACAGACAGGAGAACATATAAAGACAAAGGAGCACTTTAAATATTAACATAGAAATAATCCACAAGTCAAACACACACCTCTTCCTCCTCCTCCTCCTCCAGTGTATTACCTGTTGTATGTCTACGTTCTGTGCAGCTGGGGTCACGTCGATAGGCTCAACCTTTGGCTTCTTGCGAGGTCGTCTTTGGGGTCGCGGTCGACTCACAGCCCCCCCTACAGCCTCAGTGGAATCCCACAGACACACACACATTAATGCCACCACTGCCAGCATGCAACGCCATACTCCAGCCATCCTAGAGTCAGTCTTCTTCTCCTATAGGGGTGTTCAGGTTCCTGTATTCTAACTTTTCTTTTTTACACTCTTTTCTTCTTTTTGTACTGGATTTTCTGTCCTCTCTGTCTCAATCTGCAGTCTGCTGTTCTCAATCTGCTTTACTCAACCTCAAACACACAGAGGAAAGGCATAAACAGACAGAGAGCAGGGGACAAACAAAGTGAAATAGAGGATGGCCTGTTCAGTTAAAGATTAACTTGGTTTACCAGCAGAGATGTGCTGCAATGTGTGCATCTGAAGGGGGGCAGCAACAAATCCTGATTATATTCTGACTTTAAACCCTCAGTAAACTCTGCCATCAGTGAAGCATAACCATAGATTCAGAGAAAACACAGATATGCATTTATTGACAAAGTATCATTCAATTTTATACAATTCCTAAAAAACAAAACAATTGATGTGTTAATGTGACCCCGGACTGAAAAACACACAAAGCAGCAATGTTAGAACTTTCTGTCTTTCACAATCTCTACAGACAAAGAGGCCCAGTTATGCTGACATTCATACGTTCAGTATAAAACAAAATTACCAACTCAACAAACATTTGTGAAAAATACAAACAGTTAAAACAGTGACTATTTTTTGGGAAGTATGGTATTCATTAATGGAGCCGATGGCCTTCAGTTTGACTTTGTGTGAATCATGTACATCATGTTCTGTGCGTAGACTTCCCTCCAGTGCATACATTTTCTTCACAAGCAACTGAGCTGAATTCTTTACAGGTTTAATAAACACCAGGAGGTCCTCTTCCCCCCAAAATTCATTCATTTAGACACACACAAAGCTTCTCACTAGCAAATATGTTTAGGTCAAAACCATTGAATGAATCCTCTGACATTCAGGTGGTCCTTTAATTTGCCTCGTAAAAGAAAAGGTGTGAAATGACACATAAGTGTGTTTTAGTCCCGCTCATCCTCGCCAGGTTTGCTGTTTCCTCTGGGTTTAAACATGAGGGCCACACTGTTGATGCAGAACCGCTGACCTGTCGGATCCGGTCCGTCTTCAAACACATGACCCAGGTGGGAATCACACTGCATCAAACACAAACACACAACAGTCATAAACCTTTCAAAAACACAAAATCATGGTTGTATTTGAAGAAAACTACACATGAAATTCTGACTTTAAAAACTGCACACAAAGCTATATGACCTAATACAACTAAAATAAGCAAACTGAACTTTGGCTCCATAGCTCAGAGAACAACTCACATTCTTACAAAGGACCTCTGTCCCAGCGCTACCCAGGCTGTTGTCAGGGCGACGGATGATGGAGGCGGAGCTTTCGTCACGCTCCCATGTCCCATGAGCCTCTTTGAATGCAGGCCAGCCTGTCCCAGAGTCATACTTAGCCTCTGAACTGTTAAGAGAGGAGGGAGCGTTTCAGCAATTAGCATCTGCTAATGTATTTCAATTCAATTAACGGTTGTACAAATAAAAATGTGGGAAAGTATTCCTTTAACATTCAGGTGCAAACTGTTACCTGAAAAGTGGAGCATCACAGCAGACACAGTGGTACATCCCCACCTCAAAGTGGTTAAGGTAGATCCCACTGAAGGGCTGAAAACACCCACAAACAAACACACGTGTAAAGGATCATTTCCCCATGTTATTAGTTGTGTGTCCTTTAGGATGATGATGATTTTACAAGTGCAATACAGTAACTTGTCCTTATTTTTATTACACACTCTGTGTCTCAAGCTAATAGCTGTCCTCAGGCAGCCTCTAATTCATAAATGACCAGGTCTGTAGGTGAACTGGTTGAACCTGACACAGTGACGAGCAAAGTCCACCTGAAACTGTGCTGATGTTTATCAGAAAATATGTATGTCAGTTTGGCAGTGTTGTACTCACCACCTCTGTCCCTCTTTCTCTGGTGACTACATACTGTTCTGGGGTCAGTTTCTTTTGCCAGTCTTTTGTCTCATCGTAACGGATGAGTGACTGCAGGCCTGCAGAGAGCAGAGGTAACAGTGAAGAAGTCCCAGAGGAGTTTTGTTGTGCATGTGGAACAGACGGAGTTATATCTAATGGTCCTAATCACTCAATTAGCTTAAATACACATAAATAAAAACAGTTTTTGACAACATTGAACCAAATAAGTGAGTCTCTAACCTGTAGCTACTTGACAGAGACAGCAAACTAGCTCAAAGACATGGCCAAATGCAAGTATGACACTGAATGTGTTAAACTCTGGGACCTTGAACTAATCATTAAAGACAAGTCTGGACCCCATGGCTGGACCAGTTGGGAAGCACGTTAAAACACAGACCCTGGGTACTATGGCAAGTTGAGAAAATGTTTCTTATCACATGACTTGGAAGTGTACTGCTCAACATTTCTGAACAAATCAGTCATAAAATTTAACTTAATTCTAACTCCTGAAGTAAAATTACTCTGATCCCAAATATATTGTTGCTGAAAGTCTTTTTTTGGCACAAGCTGCATGATTCTTCTTCTTAGTGCTTTGTTAAAAACACAGCAGCATGGTGCACCTGCAGGAGTTTGCAGCCTAGGATACCAAAACTCCTGCACAACAGAGCGACAGTAAAGAAATCAAAAGTCTCCCCAGTACCTTGAGATGTGCACACAGGACGAATGAACGCCGGGATCCTCCTCGGTAACACCACAGATCTGGCTGTCGCATGTTGAGACACTACCACGAAGAGACGGGCGGTGAGACGAGACATGTTTGCTGCTGCTACTGCTCCCTCTGTGTAAAATCTGTCTGAAGTCAAGTGCTGCTGATATCAGTGGAGCCAAGTGCGCTCGCTGCGTCGGGATTGTTCATGCTGCGGCGAGTTCGCGCCGGTCCTCCCCCAGCTGATCCGAGCTGGTAGCTGGGTGACCCGGTCAAAAATCACACCTCCAGCTGCAGTATGTAGGTTAACATGGTTCACGCGCTTTTTATTGCTGGACAATGTGCAAAGTGCATCATAATTGTGCAGCAGCTTTATGGCTTCAAAAATTACAACCATTTTATGAGTGCATGTAATGTACATGAGTACATGCATTTAAATTATGTGTATGTATGAGCAGGTGTTCATCTGTATCATGCCATTTTATGCATGTGTCTATATTATTTGCACTGTACAGTAGGTGATGTTATGCACATGTAAAATTATGATAAAACTGTGTGTGAATGTTTTTTTCTGTCAACATTAACCAATAAACAGTTTTTAAAAAGGAAAAAAAAGTGCACAGTGAGGTCATTGTAAACCAAAAGGTAGCCTATAATCAGAGCTTTAACAATCTGAAACATATTAGGAACTTTATTTGGTGCAGAGTAATCCGAGCATGCAAAAATATATTTTCATTTCAATCAGCTGACCTCAGTGAAGGCACAAAAAGCATTTTAAGACCATCTGATAACCAATTAATGCTTTAATAATACTCTATTACATGGTTTAAATGTCTCCCATGTAATACAATTTAAATATCTATTACTGAAATGTCTGGTATTGCTCAGCAGCAGGGGTACCGGCTTTCAGCAGGCTTCCAGGCAGGTGCATGAGGTCCACTATGTAGCGGCAGGGCTGTGAAGAGCGCTCATTCCTGGAGATGTTCCCATTGAAAAGGAGTACCTCGTTCCAAGCCCGGCTGTACTCGCCCCTAACAAGTGTGCAGCTCATTCCGATGCAATCAGCCAGACACTGAAAAGTGAAAGAGAGGAGACAGGTCAGGGTGTTAGAGTATAATTTGAAAATGAAATGGATTAAGTAGAGAGGGTTATAATAAAAATACTTTAAGTGGAGGATGGGGTGATCTTAGAGAGGAGGAGTAAAAAGGATGTGAGTGAAATGTAAAGTCTGGAAGAGAAGGGACTGATGATGATGTAGCTCAGATGGTGGTACCTTGAAGAGAAGTGCCCGATGGCAGTAGAATCCCCTGCTGATCAAACCGATGGGAACAACATTACACTGAAGCTGAAACTTGAGCTCGCTGAGGTGCAGCACCCATGGGAATTCATGTAACTTTTCCATCTCTACAGCTCCACCCATGGCATCACTCACCAGCCTGGCATCCAAACACATACACAAAAAAAACATTACAATGCAGAAACCTTCAATATGTGTGTTTGTTTTCATCCTGCAGGCTAACAGTGGTGTGTGTCTATAATGCTGTAACATGCCCCTTGTGTCATCGTGAGTGAACCCCCACTAACACCTCATGAACTGGTGCGCTAACACAGTTTCCAGGGTGTCTTGTTTCAATTTGCTTTAATGATTCTGGAAAATCGAAAACAATGGCCGATGATCACATACTATGAGAGGATTTTCCTCTTTATTTGTAATGAAATCTCTGCATGTTGGTTATGTGCTGACTGCATGAATCCATCACCTGGCCAGGGCGGCATACTGCTCTCGTTCATCACTCAGTAGGAGGATGGATTCTTTGACCTTTTCAACTAGAACCCGCAACGATTCGTCGTCCATCATCTTCCACGGTTTTTCTGTAGGAGACTCAGGCTGGGTCTCATCTTTCTGTTTGTCATCCTCTTTCTTCTTCCTGTACACAGAGACAGTACATTAAAAAGAGTGTCTTCACCATAGGGAAGAATATCATCATCTTTTTGGATGTAAAATGTGCTCATAAATTACACAGATCCTTTTAAGAATTGAAACCCAAGATTCTTGTGTTGAGTGTGTCAAGATGTAAACTACTGGCTAACTTGAGTAAGACAGTGTTATACATGATGATACTGTAAGTATCCCCACCCCCGCACACACAGACACACTCACCTTGGTGTCCTGCGGTCTCCCTTGCTGCCGGTGTCTACTTCTGATGGGTTGCTCTGCCTCTCTTCTGGCACATCCACTGTCTCTCTGCACCAGAAGGACAAGGATGAAATGGTTTATATAACCGAGCGCAGCACTCTTAGTCTATCTTTCATGCTTCTTCTTGTATAGTTTCAGTTGCTGGCATGATTTAGGTGTCTCTATCTGTACTTGTAGCGCACAATATGTACATTGGACTATGTATGCGTGTGTGTCAGAGAGCTACTATTATTATTGTGTAGATTTCACAAGGAAATTAGAAGGCATCCAGTTAGCAGTATCCAGTGCCAACACAATTTTCTAACACATTATTCCAAACACTTACACTGTAACATTGTGTTCCTCTGCTATTTTAAAATTATGACCAAGATTTTAATTGTATGATTGCAAAGTTTCCAACATGTGTGTAACATTCTCATCTTCCTAAGATATGCAGACAAATGAGCAAAAACTGCACCTCCAGAGTCAAGGTAATTAACATAAGTTATACAATGTGTGTGTTTACTCAGGAGACAGACATTAATTAATTTTAGTATGAGCCATTTTGCTTTACATAGTTAAAAGGTTGAACTCAGGTCCCTCTAAGCTGTGGATGATACGGCATGAGATCAAGATTACATAACACACTGTTTAAGAATGCCTGAGATGTTGTTGGTGTGTGTGCATGCTGAAGGGGGGGACATGGTGGAAATAGGGTGGACCAGAGGTACCCTGAGGGGGTACTGCTCTCTTTGGCAACGTTAATTCATCAAAATGCTGGGAGCATGTGGGAGCATTAGTGTGTGTATGTGCATGTATAGCCCTTAATACCCACAGTGTGTTGCTTATTGTGTCTCGGGCAACGTGCATGTGTGTTACGTGCAGGCATCTTCGTGGCTGTGCATGCATGTGCACTGCATGGCTGTGCGTGTAAGTCCATTAGTCTAAACACAAAAGCTCTTTGAGTGTGTTGCCATCTTAAAAAAATGGGATCGTTTACCCTGTGAGGCCACGCTAACGGGGCATACTGAAGGCAACGGGGAGAGGTGGGGGAGAAGCGAGAGGGGAGAGAGTGGAGCACTGGATTGGAGCAGACAAGGGGAGGGTGATAGTAATCTCACAGCCACAATAAATTGTGCAGGCAAACAACATGGTGTGACTGGTAGTGTAGAAAACTTGCCAAGTCTCAGCTAATGCTCCAGCACCATCTGTGTGGTTGTTCTTGTTAGTTTCCCATTCCCACAGTACTTGAAGTGTAAGAGGCCCAGTTAGCTGTTACAGTTTGGGGAGCTGCTGGATATATTTTCAATAAAACACTTTTGTCCTAACATTTAGATTTTACTGGGCTAGAATATGATACATACAAAAAAAACACAACATACTCTGTTGCTGTGTTGACAGCAATGATGGGCCGATGCTCATCGACAGGCTGCTTGGACAGTTCCTCTAAAGTCAGAATCCTCTGACCTGGACGAGCCTGAGAGCGAAAGAGATGTGAATAGGTAAGATATGTGAAACTACCCCTTGCTACAGTGTGTTTCCTTCACAAAAGACAGATGAAACAGATCAGACCAACAAGTTCAAGTTCCAAAATAACTAATTACGAGCACGTCTAGAGATTTAAACAGAGATTTGTTTAATTCAAATTTAGCTCACATTCCTTTCAGCAACGTCTGTTTCACATCAGTTTAAATAGCCTCCACACACCTTCCCTGTATCATAGAAGCCATCAGTAATGATGTCAGCGGCGGCCAGATGACCTGTCAAGCTGTACTTGACGGACAAGTTGGAGTTAAGCAGGCTGATCATGGCCAACTTGCTGAAACTGCTCCTTCGATTCACTGACTGGTTGATCTCCTGGAGCATTTCCAGAGCTCTGAAACACACATAAACAGATATTCAGGCACTGATGATAGATAGATGAGCGCTCACATTGACAAACATACACACTAATGACCAAAATTTCTCACACTTCCTTATGGAGACACATAATACTGTCCTATACTGCCATCTACTGGCTATATAAGAGACTACATTTTATGATTTGTCTGTCAAGTCCTGGTTTCATTGTTATCTGTCATCACAGAGTCTTACCCAAATTTACACATCTCCACAGCGGTGGGCATGTCACTGGCACAGACATTGATAGCCAAGCATGCACTGTGCAGCAACTCCTTGTGATAGGTGCGCAGCAAATTGACAAGTGGTTCAAGGCCTCCAGCGCTTCGTAGCTATAGGACAGGTGGTAAATGTTAGGTAGTCAGTAAAATTAACATATATTTCCTTTATGCAAACCTCCTCTCCACATCTCGTATTTTTGTCATTTGCACACATTACAACAAGGCAGCAGTGTGAACAGACATTAGACGGACACAAACACCAACCTCTGCCCTAGCATCTGTATCACAGGCCAGCTCTACCAGGCATAGCGTGGCATTGATCAGGACTTGTGTATCTGTGGACTTCAAAGGCTCCACCAGAGCCTGTATGGCTCCACGTGACAAGATACTGCAGTGGATGACCTCCTGTCCTGCCATGTTGCCAAGTGTGGCAGCGGAATTGGCCACCGTCCTGGGGCAGCTTGCATACAACTGCTGGACAAGTATCTCATGGCCTCCTGCCTCATACACCGCACTGCAGACACCACAGAAATGGAGGTGGGGGATTAACTGCAAACCTACAGAGCTGGCTACAAATGCAGTCTAATAACACGGCATACAGCATCGACTTTGTATAACGTGTGTGTGTGCTTTGTAAAAGGGAAACAAACATTAATAGTGAGGCTAGTGAGGGAATGATGCACGGGAGGTGGAGTTGAATGTCCTGAAAATGGAAGTCAGACAGTGAGAAACGATGGGTATAGGGAAGATTTGTCAGGGGAATAAAAAGGTGGACAATAAAACGGTGAAAGGGAGAGTAGAGAGGTAAAGAGATATTTAGTGAAGGAGAACCATGAGGAGACAGATGAAGCATTAAATCATTTGTGAAATAGTGGAGAGGAAGGTGCACTGCTCAACTTTAAAACACCGCCTCCTCCTAAGCCTCGCTTTTAGAGAGTACAAACTTATCTCCTTAATGTTTCACACATCTGGCAGTAAGTTGCACATAATAATACCTCATGGCATACTCAAGCAACTTCCTGTGGTGATGACATTAACATAATCGTAATCGTCACTCACTGTGCATTGAGCTGGTTGCTATGTGTGAGGTTAGAGAGGGCCTGGGTAACTGCTTCTTTCAACGCCAAATCCTCACCATTCAGCAGCTGTACAACTGCAGGGATACCACCTGAAACACACATACATCACACTCATTCACACTTCATCGTGGTGACCATGCTAATGTCAAGGTGGCTGTGTGAATGTGTGTGTACCCAGGTCTCTGAAGCAGTCTTTGCTGGCTAGGTGGAAGCTCATGGCGGACACAGCCTGGCAGGCAGCTGCTTTCACGCCAATGTCCGCCGCAGACAGAAGCTCCACCAGGACTTTCTCCACATTCTGCTCATGGAGCAGTTTGCGGCTCTCAGCTACACCCATTTACACACAGAAAACACACACAGATAAAGTAACTGTTATATATACCCTCACGACTTCCAAACCTATGGCTGTAAAGTTGAAAAGAAATAATTATTTGTTGTCTTTCTCTCTGCTTACAGCTCTGAGCAACCCTGGCAATGCATTTAACAGCACTGGATTGGATTTCAGGCACAATGGAGGTGAGAACAAACTCCATCAGCCTTGTCAGTCCTCCATCCTTGTGGATCAGCTGGAAACCCTCACTGTCACCCACACAGTTAGCAACTACTTGTAAGGCCTCAGCATGAAGGTCGCTTAAGTCCTGTAAGAAATAAAAAGGCAGGTAGGAGACAGGGGATGTAGAGGACACAGACTTAGGTATGAAGAGTTGAGAACAAGTGCTTATTCAAACGTAAACATATATAGGCAGTTATTACTCTCCATATTCTGTCTTCTCATTTTTATTAACGCTAAAGGGCACGATGAAGAGCATGTTACCACAGAGCATGTGTTCTCTCACTCACACACGCCTACCGTGTTGCTGAGGATATCCATGAGCTTCTCAAATCCTTGCTCTTCCCTGAAGGCTTTGCATGTATCTTTATCGGTGGTGACACTCCGCAGCGTCTTTAAAGCCAAATGCTGAATGACAGGGAAATCTGACTTCAAAAGTTCCAGGACTGGAGGTATCCCGGCCAACTCATGTAACGCCAGACGACTCTGGTGGTCCTTCATATGTACAGTACAACAGAGAGACAACAAGAATGTTGAAACCACTGGCTAATATCCTTGTAACATCCCCTAGGCTGATAACTTTGAATCACCTGAACCAGGTTAAAGATGACATCTATTGAGTTCTTCTGGACATCAGGGTCTGGGCTGGATAGGAGCTGGATTAGAGGTGGCAGCCCCTTGCTGTCAAAGATCTGGACCTTACAGACGAAATCCACGGACAGAGAGGCCAGGCATAGCGTTGCAAACTCATGGACAACTGTGTCTTCTTGAATAGGAGAGAAAATTGCATTATTTTTTTTTGCTTGTTGCAGCTATGACACAGTAAATATCTACTTCTGAGTATATTCATCTTGTAATAAAATCACTCACCTTCAAGTGACAGTTTGTCAATAATCGATGGAATCACATCAAATTTTTTCAGAGCACTCTTCACGTCACCTTTCAGTGGGAACAAATCGATCAGTCACTCAGTCTGTAAGTCAACAAAACAGTCAATTCTGTAACCAGTCAACATGTCACTAAACAATCCAACGATTAGCAGACAGATGGTCAGGACATTGGTCTGTAAGTTAACCAGGCAGCCACATTAGTTACATTGAGTCTGCATTGATTTGCCATGTTATCTGACACACCATTGGCGGCCATGATGCCCAGGGCCATGAAAGCGTTGCGTCTGACCAGCTTGTTGTTGTGACTGATGAGCTTACTGAGAGGCTCCAGTGCCCCGAGTCCCAGCAGAGAAAGCTTGTTCTCGTCTCCTGACAACAGAGGGAGACAGTGGACAGGGAAATTCAGCATGGTGTCAAATAGAGTGCCTGTGGGCATGTATTATGTATCAGATAAGGATACATACTGCAGGGTAGTTGAATATAAAAGACAATGGCAGGAGCGGGATTGAAGCTGAAATGGGGTGGTGTTAAACATAGTAATATACATGTAATATTGTGACATGATTATTCTAAACATTATCTAGAAAAGTATACAAGTGCTTTATGAGCATAAAATGGAGACAAAATACATGGTGGTGTATTTGACTTTAAATGACAGGAAATAACAGCCACACATGCATTTTGGTTTTTAGCTGCAGGGTTGCTCACAAAAAATTATTTAAATATAGGGGTTATCCTACTGCACCTTTCTCTGCAAATGTGTGGATTGCTTCACATGCTTTGACCAGGATGTCCTCCTCTGGGGAGCTCAGCAGCAACACTACTGTTGCTGGAGTTTTGCCTTCAACAGGTAGTGGCTCAAACTGTAAATGTGGAGAGAGGGACACATGTAAATGCTTTATAATGATTTTATGTCTGTCCGTGGAAACCTTTCAGAAACACCTCAGCTAGGTTGATTCAAAAGGATAAAGATGAGAAGACTTTCATGAATCCCTCACCGTTTCCTTGCAGGGTGTTTCGCACTCCTTCTTCCCTTTCTTTCCCATTCTGTGACCTAAAGAAAATGTAGAACCACATAAGCTGCAGTCATGGATACACAGTAGCCATGCTAGCTGAACGACAAAGCTAATCTGACCGCTTAGCAGGTTAGCCGGTTACTCAGTAACGTCACAAAACAAACACACAAACTGTCAGATCACTTTCTCAAATGTTCACTGTGACTTACCTATTTTGTTCCAAACTAAAGGTCTAGTTTAAGTTTCATAATTATTATGACAGCCGGCCAGAGGAAGCAGACTGTGAGTTTGGTGTTGTGGAAAAGGAGGTTGACACACCGTTGCTAGGCAACGCTTGCCACGTTTGGTTAAGTGAGGGTTGGGGACTGTTCGTTACTTACTTTAGAGGGTGGTGCAGAAAGGGGGAGGCATGTCAAATATTTTTTTACGCACTGGAGAGGGATTTAGTTTTATTATTATTATTTTGGATTAGGGGAAACAACTCTAACTGACTGTATATTGTATTTGTTTTATCACTGATTTTACACCATTTATCATAGCTAGACACTGTAAAAACAGAGATTATCATTGGATTTTTAAACTTTCAACAGTTCTTCAACACATTATGTGGGACAAACACTTCCGTCAGATAAAAACATAACCAAATCTGACCTTTAAATAGTGATAGTTTATTTTTTAAAAAAAAATCATTTTATTGCTATTTTATCATATATATTATGGGGCAGCTGTGGCTCTGAGGCAAAGTGGGTCGTCCACCATTCCAAAGATCATCGGTTTGATCCCCAGCTCCTCCAGCCTGCATGTCAAAGTATACCTGAGCAAGACACTGAACCCCAAATTGCTCTCAATGGTTGTTCCGTCAGTGTGTGAGTGTGTGTGTGTGTGTTAGTAGGTGGCACCATGTATGGTAGCTAGCCTCAGCTACCATACATGGTATGTGTGTGTGAATGGGTGAATGTGACTCATAGTGTAAAAAAGTGCTTTGAGTGGTTAGATGACTAGAAAGGTGCTATACAAGTGCAGGTTCATCCATATTGTTAAATTGTACATTTTCTAATGGTGTATTGTGTTGTGTGTCTGCCTGTACCTTTGATTTTTGAGAGAAGACAAAGACAAATTTCCACTGAGGTGGACAATATCTATCTATCTATCTTAACTGTCAAACATCAAAGGGTAAGTTTTTAAAACCTAACAACTAATTAATGGTGGACGGAAGGTCATGCATTTTACACCGAGTCACTCAGGGAGGCTTAAAGACAAATATCTGCAGCCTCAGGGAGGGTAAAAAAAGAAAAGAAAAGTAACACCCTCGCCACCCCCTCCTCTGATAAATAAAGAACAGTCCCTTTTAAATTATAAGACAAAAGTGTCAAAAGACAACAAAACAAAATGTGCATTATAAAGAAAATGTGAATCCTTGAAATCTCTAAAACAGACTGGCATCAGTTGTTTCTGCACTGATCGACAAATGTCTCACTTCTGCATTAAAAGGTCAGCTAATTCCCCGTAAAAAAAGAAGAGGAGGAAACACTGAAACTGGCCACTGTGGTGTGTGCGTGTGACCGTGTGTGTGTGCAGGATGGCGGTCTGTCCTGTGCAGGTCACCGGATAGTATTGAGGTAAATGTGCTGGTGTGAAGAGTGAGTCATAAAACAAATGAGCGTCGGCGCACTGAGGCCTCGTGCTCTTACTGACACAGCAAAGTGCCAGTGGAAACAGCACAGTATGCACCAGAAAGCCAAATGACCTCTAAAGACATCACCTCTGGTGGTGTGGGACATTATCACCCGTCTGCCAGAAACGAGCCTCAGATTAATCTAAACGAAAGCAAGCCAAGAATGGGGGATGGTTGGCATGATGTGCACGTTTTGCTGCGAATGCATTATTATTATCATTATTATTATTATTATTATAGGAGCTGCAAACGCGCGCCCACGCACGCATCATAGGCCCACCTGGCAATGGCAAGGCTGCATATTCACACTCAAAGGATTGTGGTTTATTTGAGAGGTTTCAGTCGTCACTTTGAGATCTAAATGCAAATTTGAGCTGATATAAAAAGACTGCTGCGCTATTAAAAAGCATAGAAAAGTAGCATAGGCCCGGTGGAGGAGGGGGCTGCAGCGAATCAGCGCAGCAGACACTGCAAAGCGCAGGCTGTCACCTCCCCTCCGCCGAGCTGTCAGTTGACAGCAGCACACATGAGCCTCAGTGCTGCACACGGAGTTGACCACCCGTTGATTGCACGTCTACACAACTCCTCGGGGCACGAACATGACAGGATACACCCCTGTCACCCATACGGACTGACCACAAGCGCGTGAGAGGAGGGCTAAGTTGTGAGCTGCTATCTGGTGTTAATAGTTAGCTTGCATGCTAACGGTAGCTAGCTGGTGATCGGAGTTCGGTTCTGCTTTGTGCCGTCAGTTGGCTAACCGTCGCTAGCGAAGGTCGGAGGGACTAACGTTAGCTGGTAGCCAAGTTAGCCATTTAGCATCACTATTGTGTCATTTTAATCATTTGTTTTAAAGCTGAATAACTACGCGGGCATCATTTGTCACATATTTTTTCTTGTTGTGAACGTTTATCAATTTTACTGCATATATCGTTGATGTTAGCTAGCTAGCGAGCTACCCTGCTATGCTAACGCCAGCTCAGTGAGAGCTCACATCACAGGGGTGCGGAGAGCTCCACACAAGTCAAGGAAGGAAGAGAGGTAACTTATGATGTGGGCTGGGGGAAGCGGCGGACTGTTAGGCGAAGGAGAGCAGCACTGTTAGCTTAAACACACCGCGTTTTATCACATTAAGTCCTTGCCGGAGGAAGGGCCATAGCGTCGGTGAAGCTGTGTGGGACGTTGGATGAAGAAAATAATTGGGGCACTTCGATTTGCGAGCTGGCTAAATGAATAGTATTGGCATTACTGAGTCGTGAGCTAGTGGCCACTGTGCCAGCTTCAAGGGGGAGACACTCCGTCAAGATTATCGCACAGACTGCAATAACCAGCCAGTTTGCTTTAAGATGGCTTCGGCGGGCAGCATTGCCGCAGCTATTGCGAGCAAGACGAAGACCAAGAAGAAACACTTCGTTGCTCAGAAAGTGAAGCTCTTCCGTGCCAGCGACCCTCTGCTCAGCGTGCTGATGTGGGGAGTCAACCATTCGGTGAGTCAGACCTCCTTATGTCCATATGATGATCCACAGTTATGTCTCCCTCGACCTTTGATGTGCCTCATTAAGCCTTACTTGCTGTCAGCTATGAGCCATCGTGTTTCTGCAGTGATTGACAAGAGATAACAACATGTCCAGTGGTTGCTTATAGTGCTGTCAATGTAAATGTGTCACTGGCTTCAAGTGTGTAAGACTCAGCAAATCATGTTAGTTATATTAAGCTTTGTACAGTAACAATCCACATGGTATTTGTATTGCATGACTTTGATGTATGCATATGTGTGTGTGGTTGTGTGTGTGTGTGTGTGTGCAGCAAACTCTTCTTTGGCTTCCTGTTGTGTACATGTAGGATAAGCTGCTACTGGTCTGTGTCATGAGAGAGCAGATCTTCCCATGCAAGACAGCTTATCTCTGCTCTCTTTTTCTTCCTTTGCTGGATATTTGCACTGGGCCAGTACTCATATGTCGGAGGGAGAGAGCAAACTTGGCAAGCAGAGGACATGCAAATATTTCTCGCACCAAATCCCAAGTAATAAACCTTTTACCAATGTTTTACACACGGACTAAGACATTTAAAAACTGGTCCTTTCAGGTCCTTCGATCTTGCAGTCCTATTCATATATAGCCTTCATCCTTTACTCGCTTCATCCTAATAATCACAACATGGTTATTACAGTAAAGCCAGCCTGTTTACTGGATGCTTTATCTGGTGTTTTAGATTGAGAACTGCTTTCCAAAATGTAAACATAAAAGATGAGCAACTAAGTAAGCAGCATCACTCATTTATTCATTCACTTCATAAATGTCCATTTATGTGTCGGCACGAAATTGTTCCCATGAGATAGCTAAAGGTATAAAATATGGCAACAATATAGTTAAAATAAAACAAACTGCTCTATATTTATGTCTGCCTGTAGTGGTCCTGGTTGGTTTACAGACGGTATGAAACTGTGGAGCCAGCAGTGGCTGCTTTCGCAAATTAATTCAGGATTCTTCATCTCAGTAGGAATATAAATATTTTTAACTAGGTCCATAACAGACGTCAGCTGCACATTAATATTGATTTTATATTAAGTTAATGGGTCAGAGGTGTACTATTTGGACGTCTGTCTACAAGACCCTGATTATAGGTAAATACAGGGGATTGACATTGTATAAACACACTGTAACTAAAAGATCTGTAACTAGATAGTCACTGTAAACACGACAGAAGTGGGTTAAATCAAGGTCACATGGCAATTTGTGCAATTTCACCTTCATATATACTGTATATTAAGTCTGACATAATGTTTTTGAAAGGCTCAATTTGTGACCACTGTTTCTCTTTGCTGATGCAGTTTGACATGATGTTAGAGACCGTTCGCTTTGATATAGGAAATTATATTTCCGTTTTGGCTAATGCACCAGCACAAATAATTTGGCCTCTTTTGAACTCTGTTGTTTCATGTTGCTTTAACAGTGTTGGAATTATGACTAATTGTCTAAGAGTTAGTCTATTTGTCTCCCTCAGTATCTCTCTATGAGGTTGGGGAATCTTGGGGTGTATGATACACATCAGTGTGACAGTTGCACAGTGCTGAGGGCACACTGATGATGCGGTCAATACTAAGCATGTAAGCTTTGTCAGCGTAGACAGTAACATTTGATTTTTGGCCTAGTGTTAAGGGTGGAAGGTTAGTGTGGATTAAGCAGCCTCTAGATAGCCTGATGTATGTGAGGCCAAGACAGCCAAAAATCCAAAGGTGTTATTTTGTATCTAAGCTGTACTCCATAGATAGATTAAGTCACCTGGCTGTGGTGTTAAGCCTAAGGGTGCAAAGTAAGGTTCACAAGGTTTACCTCCAAGCAAGCAGTTCTGATTATCATCCACTTTTTGACTGTCACTTGCAATGCCTGGGAAAGATTGATGCAATGTAAGATATGACATCAGCTTTATCATCTTGACAGTCATCCAAGACAGCACACAGAAAACCTCCCTATCATAGTGTAGTTATATACTGCAGTGTCTGTCAAGACATTTTTTATTAAATATTAAAATGCTAATAAAAAGTTAAATTGATTGGCATCATTAAGATAATCGATAAATGTGTTTATACAGGGATGTCCAGTAGAGTGAGTAATCCCAGTTCATATCATAAACTTTAATCTGATTTAGGTGTCTTAAACTGTGGACTAATGGGCCACTGACGCAGCCTCAACCATAAAAACCTACAGAAGTTTGGAGAATCTACATGTTCAAACTGTTCTCTTGGATTGCATAACCCAGAGCAGGACTGCCGCCAGCACATTTCCGTCTTATGCCTCAGGCTGCCTCCCCTGCTGTTTTTCTCACCACTTGATAAGGCACTCTGTTTCTCATACCATTGGCAACATAAAAATGACATTCCACGCCAGGTCACCAGATTGAGCCTCTGATTTACTTCCAGGGGGTGTGAAAGCTGCAGCGTGGAAGTGTTAATGTAAGGTTACTGCGCAGGCTGGGGTTTGCAAAAGTAAACTCGACTTGTAAATAACAGGACACTGCAAAGGATTGGATAAAAGGGGGAGGCCTGAGAATGCAACCAGACTGCAGAGGCAACATGCAAACACACGCACATGTTCTGCAAAATGTAACCCCCGCCTCCTACATATTAACCCTGGCCTGCCAGTCAAAAGCATCCACTTTGATGCCTCCTGAAAACCAGACTTCTTACAGTGTTATTACACTGAGCGCACAATGATGAAACAACTGAACCTGCTAAGAAGGGAGACCCGTCAGGTAGTTACTCTAGACGATACAGAAAAGCCACAGATACTGCTGCTCTATTTGTCTAACAAAGCAAATTGTGAAATGGCGTGCCAAGACATATATGTGGCCCATAACATTCACCGTACATCCTCACAATGAATCTTGTGTAATGGCTGAGAAAAGCCAGGGATATGTGTTTTGAAATATGTCTGTGTGGCGAAAGGTGTGTGGCAGCTTGTTGAAAATAACCTTTGTTGACAGGTAGCCAATTTTTCCTTTAATCCTAATACTTTGAAATTGTACTTGCATCCCTCAGAGCCTAAATAGGTTACACAGCTCAAGGTTTTACAGAAATAGATTGAGGCCAAAGCTAAAAAGTTTTTTTCAGTGACAGTCTCAGTTGTAGCCACTGAAGCTTAGTGGGTGCAAAAGCTCAAACAAACCAGAGTCTCCACAATCAACCATGACAAAGGCCGAGATGTGGCCTGCACCAGACTAGGTAAAGACTAGATAATGCCTTTTACTATGTGATTTTGTGCAAGATTTACAAGGCCTTGTCTACCAAATTATGATTCGGCTACCTCAAAGTGTTTTTTGTAAGCGAGTGTCTTCCCCGCTTTACTGTGCTTGTGAAACTAGCCTTCTGCCTCTGTTAATATCACTCTGAGAGGAATAATCATTCTCTCACACTTGTGCTGAATATGTGCTGATATGAACAGAATACACACTAAGCACGCACAAACATAGCGCACAGGATATGCCAGCCACTTGACCAGTTTTATGTTCGTTAAATCCCGTAACATACTGTATATTCTTCATGAAAGCAGTGAATCTCACATGCAAGTTAAAAAACAAAAATGCATGTGTTTGGCTCTTTTTTGGTTCTTAAAGAAAAAAGAGTCCTTGGTAAAACATCTACAGTGTGTGAATGTTGAAAAAGCACCACAGGGACACTTCACAGACTGCAGCTCTAACCCTTCAGTGGTGTTAACTTGTCGGAGCAGACACTTGGGGACAACACGGACTGTTGCAGGATTTATTGGCATGGATACAGGGACCGACAGTGTAGTCAAAAATACTGTTTTTCCGTATGACAAGCTAATTCTAAAAATGTTTCAAGGTGCACCTTGTGTCAGGAGTTTTGTTTCTGCACTGGAAAATGGATCAGAATCGAGCTTGCAGCATCACCTTCACCTTATTTTGTGAATTTGTTGAAAGGATGTAGTCCTGGTGCTTGGATTGTCTGTCAGTTCTTTTTGTAAGTCCCTGGTGTGTCTGAGTGCACATCAGATAGTGCTCCACAGTTGTTTTTGAGTAGGTTTGTCGCTGGGTGGAAAGCTGCATTCTCACAGTTTAAAGGAATCCTCCACCCACACAGCGGCAGTTTGTATTAATTATTCTTGCAGTATTACCTTGAATTTGTGAAGACATTTTTTTCTTGCATGCCTTCACCGAAAACGGCAAGCATATTGATTTATAGATTGACTGGGGGCCACGTTTAACAACAGCAAACTGTATCAAAACACCCATTTACAAACTCACACAACTCATGCAGTATAATCCAAGTCTTATTTATCCAGTCATATGCTCTGTACTTCCCAAACACGTGCATTTTCATCTTAGTATTGGAGTCTGGCTTTGAAGAGAGCAGTAAGATTTTAGCAAAAATGCTAGTTTGGGAAGTACTGAGCATAAAACTGGATAATGAGTTCTGTGAAAGTTTGTAAAAAGACATCTTTATATAATGTGCTAGTGTTAAATGTGGCTCCCAGTCATCAATAAATCATTATGTTTGCAGTTTTCCCTTAAAAGCGTGCAAGAAAAACACTTTTTTTTTTTTTTTTTTCCCCACAAATTCGAGGTAACACGACCTTACTGACTGACATACAAATGGCCGTTTGGTGGTTGAAGTATTCCCTTAAGGCACTAACTGTGTAATCATAGTTTAGAGTCCAGCAGTTCCTAACCTGCTGCTGCATGTCGCCGTCTTCTGTCCTTTTAAAGCAAAGAAGGTGACTGTGTTGAGTTGATGTTTTACATATGTTTTTCTTATTATCACAGGCATAGAGACAGTAAAAGTGTAACAAATCTCCCCTTATTGTTATTAAGCACAGTGCAACTTTACGGACCTTTTTTTTTTTTTTTTTTTTTTTTTTAGAAAAAAGCAGGCCTTTTAATTAATAGCTGTAAAGTTTGAGATGGTAGAAAGTTAATCTTTATGTTTCCCTGTTTTTATACAAAAAGCAAATGTGAAATAACTATTTTC